TTTTACAGCCCACTGTAGATCTCAGTATGCTACTGGGGTTTAGGAGATGTTAAACCACAGCTTTTTTAAGGGTTAGGGGAAAGGCCAGGGAAATGATCCATTAAAACTTATAAATTTATGTCACCACTGAAGAACATTTATAAGAACATCAAGCTGCTACCTTAAAGGAAACTTAGAGAAGGGTTAGACATTTGTCTGTCAGTCAGAAATCCTGGGTACCACATCTGCCACACAGTGGGGATCCCTGGCAGGGGAGGCTGGGGGAGGATGCAGTGTGCTCTGCCTATCCATGAGATGCTGCAGAGAATTTCAGACTTTGTGCTGCCAGGCAGTGACCCCCAAGAGAACACTGCATTGACCTGAGGCTGTGGAGAAGCTTCCAAAATGGAATGATGGAACTGGGATTGTGGATGTGTAGTTTAAATAGAAATGTGTAATATCAGCTCAGAGGTGGGGAAAAGCTCCTGTGTGAGCAGCTTTGATGGGGCTCATCTCCCAGGCAAGCAGACACATTTCTGTGCCCTGCCATGGAATCATGGCATGGTGGGGATGGAAGGGACCTTTGAAGGCCATCTAGTCCAACTCTCTGCACCAAACAGGCTGCTCTTCAACTAGATGGTCTTCAGCATTGCTCAGTGATCTGTACAGCCCATCCAGGGGTCACATCTGTGCCCTGTGGCCTCACAGGCAGAAAGGTTGGGCTGCTGGAACATTGGTCACTGAGAATTTCAGACTTTCTGTGCTGCCAGGCACTGACCCCCAAGAGAACATTGCGTTGACCTGAGGCTGTGGAGAAGCTTCCAAAATGGAATGATAGAACTGGGATTGTGGGTGTGGAGTTTGAATAGAAGTGTGTAATATCACAGGGTGGAAAACTTTGAGTTTAAGATTTTAGAATATAGTAGTACATATAAAGCAAAGATGAAGGTTTTAGGGCAGAGGCTGGTCCTTCATCTTCTCCTTCTTCTCCATAGGTTTGGGTAATTAGATTAAAAAGTCCTCATTGCAGGACATGAGGAATTAGTTATTGGGTTAAAAGTACAAATAATTGAGGTGTCATTTCTTAATTGGATGGTTTATCCTTCAAAGGCCTTGTAGAGAGAGAGATATGGCTCCATTTTTAGTTTGTTAGAGTGCTGTAGAACTCATGGTCTGTGAGACTTTGACATAGATAACAACTAATAAACATCTGAGTCCAAACAAGAAATTCCATCCTGGCAGAAAGAGGAAAAAATTCAAGAGCTACTCTAGAAAGTTTATAATTATCCAGCATCCATTTGCAGAAGGCAGTTTCCTCCACTTGTCCTTGGGTTGTGCTTGGCTGCTTTTTGATCTGAAGGGAGAGGGGATGGGGTAGAAAGTAGAAAAGCCTGAGCCAAAACCTTTAGGGATGTTAGAAAGGAGGCAGCACCTGGAGTAAAGCTCAGGGAAGGTGGGGGGAAGTCGATGTGAGAATGTACTGGGGAGTGATGTTAATTCAACTCTGAAGGTGAATATTGCCTGGGGTCCCAACCAATCTGTTTTTGATGCCCTGAACCTGGCACATGAGTGTAATGGCAGCCAAATGTCCTGATGGTGGCTGGAGCTTCTCTCCTTCTCTCAGAGGCTCTCTGAGGCCAAATTTCTGCTCTGGTGATGCAGAAACCTCAGGGAACTGCACTGGTGCATCTGAGAAAACCATGCCTGACGACAGCTTCCTTGTGTGAGCAGCTATTGGGTGGCACACAGGTACTTGACTGGGGAATTATTTGATCAGTTGAATGATAAAAATCACTTTCGTGATCCTGCCTTCATTGCCATAATGGCCCTAGTTATATTTCAACCACAAATTACTCCATGCACATGATTAGCAAGGCAATCCCTTGCAAACGTGATAGTGGAGGTTCTGAAGGTAAGTGAGATTTGGAAAGCAAATACTACATAACTTGTTTGCTTTGTCTCATGGGCTCAAACACCTGGTATTTCAGGAGAACAGAAATTCCCTTATGTCCTCTTTAGCTGTAGGGTAACAAAGATTTGTTAAGGTCACCACGGGGGATTTTTTCCAGGGATGATCAAAGAAAATGTGGATCCCAGCCTGGATTTAATTTACAGCTTTCTCTTTGATGATCCTTCTTCTCTTTTATTAAAGGAACAGTTGTAACAGCTGGCTTTGGTATTATGTAGTAAGTAAACAATTTATTCTGATAAGTTGTTTTAGTTTCCTATCACAGAAGGCTTTGAATCTTGTTTGGAACTGTGATGGGACTGCTTTGTCCAAAACACTGTTGGTTCACAGAATCACAGAATAGTCAGAGTTGGAAGGGTCTCTTAAGAGCCCATTTGGGATCAAACCCAAAACCTTGGCATTATTGTCACCTGCTCTGACAACTCAGGTTGTGTCTCTGCAAAACCAGAGGGATTTTGGATCTTTGCTTCTGTGCATTCTGATCTCTGGGATGCTGCTGGCTACTGACTGTGCCATAGCAATCAAAAGCAGCTCCTTTGGGCATGCACAGTGGGTGCCCAAATGCTTGGAAAAGGGGGCTGCTTCTCCTAAAAAGGCATCAAAGCATTTTGAGGTCAGAGGGTCACAACAGCAGATGCAATTCTGGTTTGGCACTCTTGGAAGAGTTTCTAGTAACTGCTTGCCTTTTAGAGGAAGCTAATTTCCAGCTTTTGCTGAGACTTTGGAGCATTGCCACAGCCCCTGGAGCTGTCAATGTGTACTTCTTGCAAAACAATTGTTGGTTGCATTCTATACAATAATTTTCCAAACTCTGGTATCGGAGTTTGGAAAAACAAAAATAATACTCAGCTATGGAAGGAAGAGAGGTGCTTTATTCACACTTGCTGTGTCTCCAGACTTTCATATCTTCTGGTTCATTTGTCATGTTTGAGTTTCTGGTAAAATTCTGGTTAAAGTTAACACTGGTATTCTGGGCTGATAATTCTGGATTCAGCTAGAAGGGATTTTGTGCTGTCAGGATGGATCAAAATATAAAATTCTTTGGCCATAGGATAAAGTTCTTGTTGAGGTTTCTCTCTTTTGGAAGTTGAAATGAAGCCTTGTTCAGGAGTGGAGTTTGTGGGATTATTGCAATATAAATACAATTTAATTAACAAGAAGGCAAAGCTCCTTACTGAAGACATGAATTATTAATATTTTTTTCTATTTATCACACAGTTTATAGTCAAAGGATGCAGTGCAAACTCCATACAATGTAAAACTTCTCCTAAAAGTTTTTGGGTACACATGATCTTTGCCTGTTCCTGATAATTCTAAATTAGGCAGCATATATCACCCCTGAATTTCTGCCCTATGCTTGCAGAAAGCAGATGTTTGAGGAACTTGGTATCACTCAGAGGGAACAGTGAAAATGGAAAAATCACATTATGGCCAGAGGAACTCATAGAGCCAGAGGAAGTCAATGTTGTATCTCTGAGGAAGAGGTGAATCTGAAACAATTCCTGTTTCAGATTACCAAATCCTGCTCTTGGAAACCAACCCTTTCTGTGAAAATGAATCAAGACAAAAGAAAAATGAAAGTTTTGAGTCATATTCCCAGAATATTGCTCTCTTCAGTGGTGCCAGCTTGCACTAGAGCAGCTGCTATTTAGCTTGGCTGGGTTTGAATGAAGGCTTCAGTCCTTTTAGCAATTCCTCAAACCAAGCAATCTTCTGGGAGCCTCAAAACCCCCCAAATTGTGGGTTAACTGCTACATTTCATAACTGCAGCTCGTTTCCTCATGGTAATGCACATCTCATGTTTCAACACACTATGGCAGGCCTGGCTGAGCAGCCCAGGGAGACTCTGGGGCAGGGGTTGTTTAAGGTGAGGATTTGGTGCCAGGGGGCACTGGGGGCTGGTGTCAGTTTGTCTGTCACGCTCCAAACAGACACACTGGACATTGTGTTTGTTTGGAACATGACCCTGCTGTGAAATCACTGCCAGACAGTGCTGGGTGCCAGGGCAGGGGAAAATACTGCAGCCCTGGGGTTAGTGCAAGAGTGACCACATCACCTTGTGGGGGTCACTCCTGGGTGATGATTACCCAGCTCAGGAGCTACCTTTGCCAATATTCCATTTCTCTAGAGATTTAGAAACCTCATCTGTATGCTGGTGTTCCTTCTGGGCCAGGGCAGGGTAACAAGGGCACAGGTAATAGGGAAACCAAGGGATTTGTTGTGGGTTTTGTTGTTGGCTTGTTTGGTTTTGGCTGTGTTTGTTGTAGTGGTAGTTTGGATTTCTCTTCGAGGAAATGCTCCAGTTTAATGTCCTGAACCATGAAAGTAAAATGATAGATAGATATGAATGATAGACAAAATGTCCCACTTTTGGAGCATTTTTTTAACACACAGCTGCTGCCCTGAGCTGGAACTGTGAGAGCAAAGCCCAAATTCACTGGAGGGGCAGTGTGGGTGTGCAGCACAGTGGTTAAATGGAAGGCTGATCAGTTCTGTATGATGTCTGCTAAATAAACCCCTGAAACTGAGTTTCCCTAAGGGTGAACCTCCACATCTTCCACTACAAGGGCACAGGTGCTGCAGTGCTCAGCACAAACCAAGCACGTGAATCCTTGCAGAAACTCTCCTTTTCTGAGGAATAAATTTTACAAGCAAAAACTCCTTGTTTGGACTTTCTGGGTGGTACATCATGAGATAAAAATAGGGACAAAGTGCAAGGGGAGTGTCATGAAAGAGTGAACTGTGGCCTGGAGAGAAAGCATTGGTATTATTAGATTCAGCTAAGTTCCTGCAGATATAGCAATTCCTGAAAATTCCACCCGTTCCTGCACATTCCAGCAATTCCTAGAAGTTCCATCAAGCCCTGCACTCACAGCAGTGTGGACTTACACCTGGTTTGCATTGCTCTGTGATTCTGCTAACTGCATTTCGGAACCGAAAGTGAAAATGCAGTTTATTGCAATGTGAGTTGTATTTAAAGGTGGGAGGAGCCAGGAGAGTGGCTTTTTCTTGGGATCCTGTTGACTTCTGCTTTCCTCTGGAAAAGGAGCTGAATGAATTGAGATCTGGAAAGGCTGCACAGGCACTGGGAGAGGGGAAGAGCATGAAGGCTCCCTTGGACACAAACATCTTCTGAGGTACTGTCTTCTCCTTTAGAGGGTCCTGTCTTCCACCCTATTCTCTTACAAATTCTTGCTTTCTTGTTTTGAAGTAGACATTCAGAAACAGGCACTGAAATGTCTGTGGCAGGGGGGAAATTCTCAGTGTGCTGCACATTTTCTGCATAGGGAAGAGCATGTGTTGCTGGTGATCTTTTTGACTAAATAATACCACAGCTGTAACCCAGATTGGCAACTTCCAGAGAGCAAACTCACACTGATTGTGGGAATGCAGAAACCCAACAGCTTCCTCTTGGTGCATTTATATAAAAGTGTGAGTGACCTCAGAAATATTAACAACATTTTCCCATTCATGTAATTTCTGAATAGTTTATCCCATGTCCATTAACCTTCTTTTTTTTCCTCATAGCTCCTTAGCATGTCTTGCTAATATCTTCTCTTCCAAAAGTTCCATCCTGTCATGTTTGCAAATAAGGGAGAATTTGTCAGAAGGGTTGCAGGAGAAATCCCTGCAGCTCTTCTTTTCAAGGAGCTGACTGTGCATTTCCACAACCAGCCTGACTAATGAACAATCCAGCCTGGCAGCTCTGAATTCAGAATGAAACAAGACAGAACCAAAATACAAAGCATTAGTGGTTTTAAAATAGAAGAAGTTAAACCAGTGAAACACTTCATTCTACTTAATGTACTGTAGGCAGTAAAAAAAAAAAGTTACCAATGTTTTATAATGCTGTGGAAAATTTTTTTCAGAGCAGGCAGAGGAAAGCCAAAGTGTGCTTTACACTTAATATTTTCTGAGATTTCTCAGCTCAACCACAATGTCCTGCTGGTTGCTCTCTCTGCAATGGCTTGTTGGAGCTGTGGTTACAAACTACAATCATACACTCACTCAGGAAAGAGCTGCTTTATCTCCTCACATGATTTTGTATTGTCTTGTTTCTTTGTCTTTATTGCAAAGGCTTGTTGATAGTGGATATGACAGACTGGTAAGGGAAATGTGATAAAGAAAGTGATACCAAAATTGTCTTATGTAAACACTTCTCCTTTTCTGGGAAACAACTTAGAGTAGAGAATAAAATGTGCAGGATCTTCTGAAGTTCCTTGAGTTTTATTCTGTTGCTCCTTACTTCCTTTAATAGTACTGTTTTCTCCAAGCTGACTGCAACTTAAGCCTTCCCCACAAGACCCTTAGGGTGCCACATAAATATTTCAGAAATTATGCTGTCTTGTTCCACCAAGCTGGTTCTGAGCATAAAACCCATAGACTAAATTGCTCCTAAAGCTGTAGAGCCCAGGGGATGTGGCTGGAAGAGGGAATGCAGTGTTTACAGCTGGAGAACAGCACTGGATTTTGTGTGCCCATGAAGGTGCTTAATGGCTGTTTGGAGAGGGGATGTCAAACATGTGCACCCTGGGGCAGCAGCTCTGCTCTGCTGGCTCCTGGGGATGTTGTGGGGATTCTGCTTTGGTCACTTTGGGGGTCCCCACTGAACTGTGCCAGAGGCAGAAAGCCTGAGGACACACTGGAGAGGCAGTGACCTGGTCTAATTTGTGCTGGAGTGGGAGGAAACATGGCTCAGAGTGTTCCAGGTCATCAGATTTTAACGTTGAGAGAGAACTTTTGCTCTGCTGAAAGTGATGTTATTGCATTGGAGACTGAATTTCATCCTTCTCTTGGCAAACACTGGAGTTATTTATTGCCTTGTGTTTGTTATGATGCTATGAGGAGAAGGAAAATCCTGACAGTTTCAGGTAATGCTGTTCCCTCAAATAGATCCTTTCAAAAACAAAACCAAAGGACCTTGTTAGGGCTCTTCAGATTCCCTGTCAAATCCTCTTTCTCCTGCTGGTGATCTCAGCTGGGTCAGGTCTGCCCTGGGGGGAGGCTGGGTGTGAGTGGCTGGTGTTTGCTGAATGAAGTCCAGCTCTTCCTGTTTGTTCCTTTACTCACCTACTGCTTGCTCCTGATCTGCTTTTAGGGTCAGGCTTTACTTTGTTACAGCTCTGTAGAAAGCCTCAGAAGCTCTGATAAGTGAAAGTTTGTATTGTTTTGAAAAAGAAAGGGAAACAGGCAAAGAAAAACTGGATGGAAAATATTTTGTACTGTCCACAGGATGTGTTTCACTTTAGATTTGAGTGTTTTATTCAAGTAAGCTTAAAACTGCTGGCAGGAGTTGGCCAAGACAGCTGGAGAGTCCCCAGATTTTAAGACAGATCAGTTGGGGCAAACAGAGATTTGGTGGATGGTGTTTTGGCTGTTGGAACTGAAGAGAAGAGGGGGAGAAGGAGGGAATGTCACCAGAGAGAAGAGGAAGGGACATGTCCTTGACCAGAATGAGGAGAGGGGCAAGACACAAATAGAGAGAGGACCAAATAAATGAGGATACAAGATACAGACCTCACACTGAAAACTACTGGGGAAAACCCAAATCTTAACCTCTTGGCAAATAATTCTGCCAGATGTGCTGCAGCTGTTCTGGGCAACTAACATGCCCTGGGGTATAAATCCTCTGGAGGCATTGAACAGACAGGAAGAGGTGGCACTTAGGGACATGATCTAAGTGATGGATTTGGCAGTGCTGGGCTCGAGGGTCTTTTCCAAACCCATGATTCTGTGATTCCAAGATTGATGTCAACCCCTTGGAACTCTGCTCATCTGCAGGGAAGGAGGGCCAGGCATTGTTAACTGCGCTTTGCAAAGCAGGAAATGGGATAAAGGAATGTGTGAAATATGAATGATGAGAAAAAAAAATTAAAAAGGATGAATTTTTTATGGATGGGAAGAGGAAGATGAATTTTTTATGTATGAATTTTTTATGTAAGAGAAGAGATTGTTGTTAATACTTGGTGGGGCCAGAGGAAATCCTTGCAGGACTGTCCAGGTGAGCAGGAGCTCTGTGCATGAAGTGCAAAGGTGGTGGTGGAAGAGGATGGATGACTCCTTGGAGGGTGCAGTGCCAGGGGCCCAGCTCTGGCCAGCATTCCCTGGGTTTGCATCCTGCTCAGGGCCGAGGTGAGAGCCTGAGGTGTCCCAGGTTTTATTCCACAGGAGATTTTGCAGCTGGTCCCAAGGACGGGGTCAGCACCTGCAGGAAGCTGAAGGACATATCCTTGGGTTGTGTTGCTCCTGGCTCACCTGTTTCTGGGAAATGGGGTAGAATTCTCAGCAGATCTAGATCAGCACAGACCATAAGAAATGAGCATGTATTAACTTCTGTTGAATGTATAATTAAGAATTAATGTATAACTAATTTGGAAATTTCCTCATGGTTCTTCTCAGGTTGTGGCAACAAAAAAAGTTGTTTTAAAGAAAGCTTTAGATGAAAAGCTCCCAGGAACAAAGCACTTTATGTTTCCCAGAGCTAGTCTGGTGAGGAAAGTTAGGTGAATTTTCTATATATTTTTTCTTATTTGGTGAGTATTTTGCTAAAACATACATCACAAAGTTGTGTTATTTAAATGAAAACTAGCTTCTCACTAAATCCAAGGATGTTTTGAAAAGAAATACCAAGTTACTGTTTGTTTGTTCATTTGACTTGAACAGATATTTCCCATCAGATCTCCTAAATCAAAAATATAATTCGATTTGACGATAAATATTTCATCTTAGGCCAAGTGAAACATTCAGTCAGCATAATCCATCTTCCTTAGTTATCTGGTGGGTTTTGGACAACTTGAGCAAACTTTGGAGCTTGGAAACTCAACTTTGGAAAATTTGGCAGCAAATCAAGCTGTCATTTACTGCTGCTGCTGAGGGGTGTGTGCAGGGTCACTGCCTGGAGGAGGACGTGGACGCGGAGCCTCCTGCCCAGCAGGCTCAGGAGGGATTTCCCTCTCCCTGCAGAAGGACCTCGTGTCTGCTGCTGCTGTGGATGTACAGAGGTGGGAAGGGCTGTGAGTTTGGCCCTTGTGGAGTGCAGTAGCAGCTGTGTGAGCAGTGTGAGGGTTCCTCTGCCTTGCCCCCATCCCGTGACCTGGGCTGGAAGTTGCTGTCTGACATTTGGTCTGCGAGCTGTTATCTTTTTGTCCGGACAAAGAGAGCAGAGACACTGGGTGCTAAGCACTGCCTTTAATTCCCCACAGGGAGAAGACTGAGGAAGGAGCCTGCCCTGGCGCTGTGGAGGATCTGGGAGAGCTCCAGCCCTGCTGGAGCCAACGCCCCCGGGCAGCCCCATGGACTCTCCCCACCTCCTGCACTTGGGTTTCCTGCTCCTGGCTCTTGCTGCTCCCCATCCAAGTGAGTCTCTGTGTTTGACCTCAGTGCTTTTCCCTGCTCTTCCATAGCTCAGAACCTCTGAACTGTTAGGATAAATTAAGCTGTGCCCAGTTAAAACCAAGACCACAAAACCTCTAAGGTGAGAAGAGAAATTAGGAGGTGAAGGTTGATGTGTTTGACCTGTCCCTGTGGGAACCCAGCACATCCCTCTGGCTGTCCAGGATGGCCAGGACCCCTGCCAGGGGGCTCAGAAGCCCTGGCACAGAGCCCAAAACACCTGGGGGTTTGATTGTGACCCATGGAGCAAATTACCAACCTTATGGAGATCAGCAAGCCACAACAGTTTAAGTAGAATAATAGTGAAGTTATCACAGGGTGAAAAAGTAGATTTTGGGGTTTCTGGAATGGGGGTTCAGGGGGCAAGATGGAGAGAACTGGGTGTGTCCAGCCTTTCTGCTTCTTCTTCTTGGCCTCCATCTTCTGCTGTGATGTTGGCACTTTTGGACTGGTTTAGAGTAGAAGCTCACTGTCTAACATAGGTGATAGGCATTGGAAAGTAATTGTAAATATTGCACACGTAGTTTTTAGTATAAAGACATAACCCTGCCCTGGGGGCAGGCAGAGTGCCTGGAACTGTCCTGCTGGATGGACCTGGGCAGGACAGGAGAAAATTTTTTGTAGATAAAAAACAATAAACAACCTTGAGACTGAGAACTGAAGAGCTCCGACTCATTCTTCAAGCGCCAGGCTGGGAAAAGAGACTTTTAACATTCTCGGGGTCACAGCAACCGAAAGACCCCAAGATGTCCCAGTCTCCTCTTTTGGGAGGGGTGACTGTTTGGGTGTGTCTGATGTCAGATGAGGTGAGTCCTTTCCCAAAGGACTGACTCTTTCCTGGGAGGGTCTGAGGGGGGAAACCTGGGACACTGCACCCAGGGTGGGCACAGTGGCAGCTCAGCTCCGAGCTTCAGTGGTCCTGGGATCTGGCAGTGTGTTGGAGGGACACCTGGTGGGATTGTGCCAAGGAGTTTGGGAAGGAAAGAGGACAGGAACAGAGGAGCTCAGCAAGAGAAACATCTTTCAACTCACCTCCCAAGCTGCCAGCTTCCCAGTTAAAAAAACAATGGAAGGAGTGGGGGAATTCCATCATGTTTCTACGCCAAAAGTTATCCTGGGAACTGGCTCCAGTACTGTACAAAATTTGCCGACTGGCAGACAATGCTTCCAAAGCCATGACTAAGCTTGTCCACCAAGACCCATCTTGTCCTCTAACAGTAAACATCCAGGGAGAAAACTGATGGAAATTTCTTTTCTTTGTTTTTTTCTGATTTAGGTATTGCCGTGTCCACTTCTGGCCCTGCTAGGTGGACACGAGGCAGCACAACTATGACAGTCTACCGCTGTAAGGACTGTGAAAGCTGCAAATGCAAGGATGGGAGAATCGATTTTAAAAACTTTACAAGAATCGCTGAAATACAAAACAAGAAGAACATTATTCCAGGTGTAACAGTTGAGTTGGTGACCAATGAATCACACATCACTGTTTGCTTTGAGCAAGCAAATTTCTGTCCTGAAGAAGTTTATGGCATCTTGGACGAAACTGAGCCACCAAAATTGTGGTGTGGCATCCTGAATTCTGGAGGTATGCTTGTTGGGAACCTGGTTATTAACTGATAGAAAACATATTTCTGGGAGGAAACTGAACTGTTCTCTATGTGGGCAGACAGCAAGGCTTATGAATGACTAAACTGGAATGATTGGGTTTCTTCTGTGAGAAAAAGTCATAAAGTAATTCACAAAAGTAAATTCAGCTCTTTCAGGTCAAATACTGCTTAAAACAACACTAGGAGAGATTCAGATAAACATGTTATTGTGATTTATAAAGATACGTTTTTATTTTAGTTTTTTTTTGGCAACAGCAATTCCCATGGTGAAATTCTGTGCCACATTGCAATGTGTGAATCCCACCTGCTTCAGCCAGAACACACCCAGAGCCAGCTCCAGCCTCAAGAGCTACTCTGTGCTGTTCTTCTGTCCAATTCAATAAACACCCAGGAGCATCTTTCCAGCTTCCTCACAAAACTGCCAAAATCAGGAATTCAAACACCTGTCAGTACATGAAGCAAATGGCTCCATGAGGGCAAAACTTCATGGTGGCTCAGGTTGCAGGGCTTTTATTTAGCTTAATCTAATAGGCTTTTATTGAGCCTAACCATTCCTCCTGTATTTAATTTCTGGCCACCATAAGCCATTTCTCTCCTGTATTTATGCTCACTGCTGCAAAATATCTGCGTGCTGTCACTAAAATGTTAAACTTTGGTGACACTGCAACATTCACAGTGAAATCTGGAAATTGCTGTAGACAGGGATGCCTGTATCCCCTAAGAGGGGAAGGAGTGGATGTGTAGGTGAAGGCAGGAGGGAGTTTTCCAGATTCTCTTTGAAGAAGAATAAACTCTACAATGGCACAGTGGGATGCAGGGTTTGTCGGAGATGCACTCCAGGATCTTAGAGATTTACTCAGCTACTACTAGAGATTTACAACAATCTACTTGCTTGTTCCTCTTCTTTGGTTCCTCTGGGTAAAAGGCAGCTGCAAAATTTTTAGTAGATTTTTATTGCATAAAGGTAATGATAAGATTTTTACAGATATTTTGTTATTCTTAACGGCATGTGAAAACTTTTTACCTTCTTCAAATATTTCCATTTTTGATTCCCAGAACAAATCCTCAGCTTTGGTGAGAAGGAATTCTAATGACAATGGTTGATTTAGACCGCTAGGGAATGAAACATCTCCAGCTCGTAGCAATCATAGCAATCTCCAACATTTTGTGCAACATGATCCACTTTTTAAATCTATTAACCTCTTCAACATCTTTAGCCCTTCACTGAAGATCTTCTACATGATCCATATTTATAATCAAAACTTTTTTTACCTTTCATCTTTCTCAGAAAATGGAGGAGGTAACATCAATACTGAGGACAAGACTGTTTGCTGTGAAGCAGAGGCAGATCCCTGGCGACACAACCCTGACCTGAAGTGCAACGTTCAAAAGTCAGGTCCAAAACACACTGCACTGCCAGTTGCCATTCCTGGTGAGGGAATTCTAGGTTAATCTCTTCTTGTGTTTGCCTTTTGCTTTGAGAGGGGCTTGTCCAGACAGCTTGATGTGAACAGAATTTACATGGGCAGGGAGATGTCCTGTACATTGGTAATTTGAATCCACATGTGCTGCAGCCAACCAGTCTCAGAGACTTTGCCTTGGCAAATGGACATGGCCAGTCCTGGACAGAGATGTCCACAAGCTCAAGTTCCTGTAATTACATAGTGACAGACACAGGGGTGCTGAGGGAAGCAGGTACATGATGGGTGTGCAACAAGTTCCCAAGTACTGACCTTATCTGTAAGTGCTAAATGAGGATATTTGTCAACTAAAGGTGACATTTATATATTCAAATTTCTTTCATGGTAGAAACCTATGTCATCTTCCTTAGGACATGGACAAAAATGTTTTTAAAAACCAGTCAAAGTGGATTTCCTTATTTGAACACTTCATCAAGGATAGGTCTCACCATTTCTTGTTGGTTATTTCATATAAGATTGATGTTCAAAAGTATCTGTTGTGGTGGGGTGACAAGAATTTGCTTTGAATGTTGATAAAGTGAGCATTATGCCAGGTACCTTCTGTAAAACATGATGAGCCAGAGGCTCTTTGATCTCTCATTCATCAGTTCCTTCTCTCTTTATCAGATGGGGCCAGTTCCTTTGTGTGGTGCTTACGAGGCAGCTCATGGCTTAGCACCCCTGCTTGCTTCACTTGGATGCTCTGTTTTCTTCTGCTCTGCAGGTAATCCTGAATTTCTCACCAGCAAAAAGAGCAGCCTTGGCATCTTGCTGGCATTCCTGTTTGTTGGGGTTTGCACAGGATGGGGCACCATGTTTTACTTCTTGCGGCTGCGGCGTCGCCAAGGTACAGTCTGACAAATTGTGTGTTGCCTGTGGCTCCCACACCTGGAAGTGGGAAAAGCATAAAGGGTTTTCCTCCTGGATCTCATCTCCATTGTGTTGTTCCTGCAGTTCTTAATGATGCTCACTGGGCTGACAGCTGGGATGAACTCTCCTCCCATGGCTGCCGTGACAGTGCCCATCAAGTGGCTTTGTTGTGAAAAATGAGCACAGAAGGAATTTCCTCACTGCTTCCTCCTGAAACAAGGGGGAAGCACTGGCAGGGCCAAGTAATCACAGGGCTCAGCCTTCCCTCCTTGGAGCAGCCCCAGTCTGCAGCATTGCTGTGCAGCTTCCCTGGCAGGGATGTGTCCCAGCCAGGACATCTGGGCATGGGCTGACAGGGCCTTCAGGAGAGTGGGTCCCTCTCCCAGCCCTGCCCACTCCAGAGCCAGCTGGAATTTAAGAACAAATAATTCCCTAAATTAATCCAAGAGGGAAGTTTGCAAAAAAAAAAAAAAAAAAAAAAAAACACCAATATGAAAGGAGAGATGGGATGAGCTCTGTGGACACTTCTTGAACCTGCCATAATGGCTTTCCCCCTCCATCCTGTGTCCACCTGGCTCGAGGGTTTTTGGCACCTTGTGTATGCCTGAGGCTGAGCCTCCTCTCAGTTACTGAACTAGTGCATCCCCTGGTGCTGGTTGTTTCTTTCTTTGAGAGCCAAAGGAATCAATTTCCAAGTCTGAATTTGTTTCAGGAGGAGTTGCACGAGTGCTTGCACAGCCCAGCAAAGGCAGCACAAAACCAGTCTCGCTGTTGTTACATCAATAGATTAATGGATATATTGGTGTGAGGGGTAAAAAATTTACCAGTAATGACTGCCCTGAGGTCCAATGTCCAGTGATGACTCAGGTCTGTCCTAGAGCCCCTCTAAGGCAGAAGTTGATGGGTCACAGCACCAGGGCAGGGTCACAGCAGAGCCTTGAAAGTGCCCCCTTGGTGGAGAAAGGGGTGGCTCAGAAGCAGATGGGAGAGGGGAGGTGCCTGGAGGACTTCACAAATTCAGGCATTTTGTTTATAATTCTAACTGGAATCTACCAGTTTCTTTGGTGGCCTCACAGATTTTTTATTTTTTTTCAATTCTGCAGCTTCTAGGCAAGACGGAGAGGCTTCTGATACAGAAAGGCTCACACGTTCTTGATAACCATCTACAAGGGAGAAAACTTCTCTGCCAGCAGCATCCTCCTCCTCTCTCATAATGTACAGCAACCATCTAAACACAGACTGGTTTTCCTGGAACTGCTGCCCTTGTAATCCCAAATAGTCCTGTTTTCACAAAGGTACCTTCACCACATCCACACCTTCCCCAAGCACTGTGACTCTTCTCCAGCTCCTTTTGAGCAGCACAGGCAGCACCAGGAGCCTCCATCCTCTCCTTGCATTGGCTGCAGACAGCAGGCACCCCAGGGTGTGTGGCTGACTCAGCAGCACTGAAACCAGCTGAATTCTCTCTATGACAAAGTGGGAACAGCTCTGAAATGCTTCCCATGCCCTCTGCATGGCTGTGTCACTTGGTAATGCCACAGCAGCACCCAGGTGTCTCTGTTGTTTGAATTCTCAGGTCATCCCTGCATTCACCAAGGCCTTTTGCACCACAAGCTGGCTGGTAGGTTGAACTGAAAGAGTTTGGAAGAGATTTTTGATGTTGCCCCCACCTGCAGGCTGAGGACATGTCTGAGTGTTTGCTCTTGTGCAGGCTGTGTCCAGCTCCCTCAGGAATGGCACTGGGTCACAGAGGTCCCCCAGGCTGGGCAGAACTCTGGTATCAATCTTCCTGACAAATTAGGCAAGTTTAGACAGTGTGAGATGAGTACAGCTCCTCAGGAATCACTTTGGGTATTTGGTATCCTCAAATCATTCCCCATTCCCACCTGATTTGAATAAAGCCTCAGCTTTTGCATTGGATCTAAGTTACTGTCAGGACTAATGAGCAAAAATCATTGGCAGCCCAAGTGGAAAAGCAAATCCCTAAAGCAATGTGAATGTTTGCTGAATCACTGTCCTTTTGCCACACAGCTAAACACAAGCACACACACAGTTCTTGGTTCATTTCTGCTTTGATTGACTCAGTTTTGTTTGTTGCTGGTTTTTTCCTCAATGTGTTTTAACCATCCAGTCAGTAGGAGAGAGAACCTTGCCAACAAACTCTGTTGTGCTGGTGCTTAATATCAGATCTGGATTGTACTGATCCCCTTGCTGGTGATGTTTTAAGAGATCACCAACACTTGGAACAGGTGATTCTCATTTGATCCCTCAATAGTTCATTGCTATTCATTGTACAAATGCTTCTCGTTCAGTATCTTTGGTTATTGGGGTCATTGGAGAGCTCTAAGGGTCTAATTATACATTTGTATACCTTTGTTTCTCAATATAGACTGGATTTACACCTTCTGCAGTCATCTTTCAGAGAATCTGTATTTTCCTTGATGTTATTAAATTCTTCTTAAAAAAAAAAAAGTGTATTTTCTTCTATTCTCTGCCACTTTTTCTTACCTTTGCATTCCTGATTTAGATCTGACACCAGCTCCAGTTATCAGGCTCAGTTTACTGCAGCTTGTATTTTGAGAACTAATAGGATTTTCCTGGGAATCTACAGAGAGAACTACATTTTCTGGGTGACAGAAACCACTCCTGCCAAGGCCTTTGAAGCTTGGGAAGGTGCTGAGCTGCTCAGGTCACTGGGCATGAAAGGCACTACAGGTGCCAGAGCAGCCAAGAAATGACATGTCCAGCACAGGGACACTGAGGTGCAGTCTTACAGTGCAGTTCTGTGGGTGGAGGAGTTGGTTTTGAAACCCTTGATATGATCAGACCAAGAGGAACTCTGATACTACAATTTCAATTGCATTTCTTATTTTTAGGTGAAGCAAGTGAATAATTAAGAGAACATCTATCAGTGCTTGGGAGGGAAACTCCATCAGCATAACTTGCTCAATGCTTCAGAAAATGAGCATTTAATTGCTGGGCAACTCTTTTTCTCAGTGGTTCATTTGGCAAAGATGTGGAGCTAGTAAATACCTATCACTGTTTCCATGAAATACTTGGATTCTTGTCTAGTAAGTCCAAGGGTTCCTGCTGAGTTCCTCAGAGATGCCAAGGGACTGCTCTTGCTCAGAGCAGCAAAGCTGCAGAAAGCTCTGCCAGCATCAGCACAGGCACTTCCAGTCTGCATGAGGAGATCCCTGCGATGGGAGTGCAACAGTGCATGCACAGGGCTCCCTCCTTGTCCTGCAAAAGTAGAGGTTCAGCTCACAAACAGGGGGTTTGTGGGTTCCTTTCCCCACTTTCTGGCTGTTCTTTGAAACCACTTTGAGACTTCCTTTGGGACCACTTGCAGTGAAGAACCAGGACCAGCAGATGTTGCCCCAGAGAAAAAGGGCTGGTGTGGATTGCCAGGGGCAAAGGGCTGTAATTCCTGCCCAGGGTGCTGTGTGCTGAGGTACCTTGGGCTGGGGTTGTGTGACTCCTGTCACTGCCACAGCCCTCTGTGCCTGCTGGGATGGGGAGTGGCACTGGTATTTTCCCCTTTATCTGCATGTCAGAGGATATCTAGTGCCATGCACTCAGAGATGACATCATGCACTGGACTTGGGTTTCTTTATGACCTGACTGACATGAAGACTGCCTTGTAGGTATGTTTTTCTTGTCTAACAGCAAGGTGATTTTCCAGGAGGAACCCCAGGCTGTTTCAGATGGCAGGGAAGGGTGGGCTCAGCAGCAGCAGTGAGATTTCTGCTCCCACAGGGGGCTTTCAGTCCCTGTGAATCTGCAGAAGCCCCAGCTGGCTGTGACCGGCACAGGATTGTTTGGAACAGAATCTCCCTGTGAAATCCCTGCTAAAAAGGCTGTGCTGAGAGCCAGGGTGGAAGAGAGCAGCATGGTGAAAGGGTGAGCTGTGGGCTGGGAGGAAGCATTGCTGCTCACAAATCCAGCTGCACTCAATGGCAGGGCTGGGACTGCTGCTTGTCACTGCCTGGAGGACAGCTTGCACAGGCTGACAACAAATAAAAAAGCTTGTTCTGTGTGTCAAAGGCAGGGGCCAAGTCAAGGCAAAGCTCTTCTGGATCGGTGGAGATCTCTGGGGTAGTAGGGAAGAGGGGAAAGAGGAGGGTCCAGCACTCTCCAGATCGCTTCCCTGTTGTAACCATGTGTTGCATTTGCTGAGAGTTAAAACCTACTTTGATCGTTTGCTTTACCCTACACCACCCCAAAAAACCCCACCCAAAAGAGAGAGAAGAAAGCAGCAGATCTTGTCCTCATCTGTACACTGTGCTTACAGACCCTGAGCTTACAGCACACCTGGGAGCCCTTGCATGGCCAGGCAGTGCCAGGCTGGGGAGCAGATCTCAAATGCAGTCACTCACAGCCCTGCTGCAGTACCCAGAGGGACAGGGTGACTGCCCAGGCATTTCTCAGCAGGTTCCTGAGGAGTTCTGGGGAGTGTGTTTGGCTTTTTGCCTGTTTTCTCCACTGCACTGTACCACACATCAGCACAGACTTGCCTGGTGTCAATATTCAGTGACACTGCTGACCTTCACTCTAAAAGTGAAAGTAAAAATTGCCCAATTACCCTAGATGCAATTGCAGGTAATTAGGCAATAATACATCTAGTTACCTTTTAAAGAAGGGAGGAGCTAGTATCCTGCTTTTTCTCCCGGATCCAAGGTACTTTCTCATCTCCTGGTCAGGGCTCTAGAAGAGGGGAGGGATGAGCTGGGGCTGGAAAGGCTCCACAGGCACTGGGAGAAGGAAAGAAAGAGCCAGGAAGGCTTCCTTGGTCACAAACAACGTGTGAGGGTCTCACACTGTCATCTTTAAGTGCTCCTGTCTTAAAGCCAATCTCTTCTCTTAGAAAACGTTGCTCCTTTTACTGGTTAAGAATATAATTGGCCGAGTTGCAAGTTTAATTCTCACTTTGAGAGAGTACTTTGTTAGGTGGAAAAGGCTTTATTGTCCTGGTAAAGATTGAAATTGTTTATTGTCTTGGCTTTGCAATGAAGTTAAGGGAGAAGAAAAAGCCTGGAAGTTCCAGGTAATGATGTTTCCTCGAATAGATCCTTCTAGCAACAAGATCAAAAGACCTTGTTAGGTCCTACAAATTTCCTGTCAAATCCTCTTCCTCCTGCTGGTGAGCTGGTTTGTGGATCAGGTCTGTCCTGAGGGGAAGCTGGGTGTGAGTGCTGGTGTTTGCTGAAGGAACTCCACAGCTCCTCCTGCTTGGCAATTATTCACATTGTCACTATGCAGATCAGATCTGCTGGTTTGTGAGTAGGGCTTGTATAATAATTGAGGGTTTTCCTGAAGTAATGGAGCATTTCTCATCTCCTTTCTCCTTACAAAGCCAAGACTTTTGCATCCACAGCCACCAATCTAAACCTGTGAGAGTCCTGACAAACTGAACTGATGTTTCAGAAGGTTCTGCATTTCTGGGACTGTGAAGAGCAAATTTGAGCCTCCCTTTTCTCAGTTGTCTTCAGAGGTGAGGTAGGTGCTCCCCACAGGCAACTCCTTACTCTTGCCCTGGGGGCTGGGGGTTGCTCAGCAGCAGAAAAACAGGGTGTGGTTTAAGTGTGAAGGAACCCAAGGTGCACCTCCCAGAGAAATGGTTTTTCCCTTACAACCATTGTGATACAAAAGCAAAACTCTGCTGACTTCTTTCAGTAGGCAGCTCAAGTAACTCAGACAACAGCCCAACCCGGGGCTCTTGGGACTCTTTACTCAGGACTTGAACTCATTGTTCAGACTGAGGGGGCAACTAAAAAGACCTTTGAAAATGCTGTGGATGTTGTTTCTCCCAAATGCATCCCTCTTTCTCCTGCTTCTCCCGTGCTTCCCTGCCCAGGACGGTACGTACAATATCAGTGCTCTTACATTTCTTACATTTCAGTCTTTCCTTTTTTTCCCAACCTTTTCTAAACTATTTTTGCCTTAGACATGCAACACTCTCATTTTTCTTCCCTTGCTTCTGATGTAGCTTCTTTCAGGCGTTTCCCATTTGATCTCTCTATTCCTTTCTATTCATTGCACAAATACTCCCCCTTCGGTTTCTTTGGATATTGGGGTCACTGGAGAACTCCAAGGATTTCATTCTACATTTGCCTTTGTTTCTTAAATCGATTGGATTTACACCTTCTCTAGCCCTCTTCCTGTATTGAATCTGAGAATCTGTATTATCCAGTTCCCTGATGTTATTAAAAGCCTCTTTAAAAAGACGAGCGTATTTTCTTCTATTCTCTGCCTCTTTTTCTTACCTTTAAATTCCTGATTCAGATCTGAAACTAATTATCAGGGTAATCTTAGTGAAGCTTGTATTTTGAGAACTAATAGGATTATCCAGGGAATCTAAAGAGAGAACTACATTTTCTGTGTGAGTGACAGCAGCCCCTTCTTTGCCAAGGCCTTTGAAGCTTGGGAAGGTGCTGAGCTGCTCAGGTCACTGGGCATGAAAGGCACTTCAGGTGCCAGAGCAGCCAAGAAATGACACAGGGAGACTGAGGTGCAGTCTCACAGAGCAGTTCTGTTGGTGGAGCTGGTTTTGAAAAGTACTTTGATATGATCAGATCAAGAGGAGTTCTGATATTACAATTTCAATTGCATTTCTTATTTTTAGGTGGAGGAAAAGAACAGTCCACAGACGTTATCAGTGCTTGGGAAGGAGACTCCATCAGCATAATTTGCCCAATGAATCGTTCAGAATATCAATTGGGAATGTACTTGAGAGTTGTCAGACAGAATGTCAATATGATATATTGTCCCAAGGAGAATTCTCCAAAGATCAATCCTGACTTTGCTAATCGTGTTGAGTCTTCAAAGGAAGGGGAGAACCTCAGGATAACCCTGCACAGGTTACAGGAGTCTGATTCTGAAATCTACAAATGCATAGAGACGTTAAGAATCAAGGAGATACATAGGAAGACAATCATAGTACTGGTCAAAGGTATTGCAATTCCACCTTTTATGTCAAGAATTAGTAAATACAGATCTTTATTTTAAATCAAAGATTGGAAGGAGACACAATGGGAGGTTGAGTCTGATAGAACCTCCTCCGTGTCTGCCCAGGTAGAGATTTGAAGGAATGTGTGGGTTTGCTCCCTGAAACAATGAAGAAAACACATGAGATAGTATGGTACCAAAAAACCCCAAACCATTTTAGAAGATTAATTTGTGACTCATTAATTCCAGCTACAGATTTTCACGAGTCACAGGTTGCTGCAGCAGTTTGGAAACCGTGAGGTCCCACAGCTCTTTCTAAAACAACCCGTCAAACCTTTTTAAACATCTAGCAGAGCAAACAGGGGTTTTTTTGGTAGCAGTTGTTTTTGCAAATCTCTTTTGTTTTTACTAATTCGTCTTAAATGACAAATTGGTAATAATCGGGAGGCTGGTCTTACGCAAGTTGAGCATGAGTGAGTAAAGGGT